GATCTCTTGACCTCGTGATCCACCCGCCTCGGCCTCCCAAAGTGCTGGGATTACAGGCGTGAGCCACCGCGCCCGGCTGGTTCTGTTCTTTCATATGTAACTTGGGGATATCTATCAGGACTCTTGTGAGAATTAGAGATGTAAAACCCTGAAAACATGGTCACCAGTCAATTAATAGCAGTCATGACTCTTGTTATGATGAGTCTAGAGTGGTACATCAGAGTTAATTTGTGAAAGGCCTTACAGGCCAGATAGAGAAAGCTGTCATAATCACTGCTGTTATTTTCAACACATGTCCAGTGCCTCTCACATGCATAGTATGTAACCAACAAGTATTGACAGGGAATAACTTTATCTCACTGACAGTGGGAGCTATGAGAATGATGGCTGGTTTAGAAAAGGCAGGTTGGTCACTGTGGACGTTCACTGGCCTTTCACCACCAGAATTCTCATCTGACTCTCCACACCTGCCACCCTGATGGCCCCTGTGCTGCGCTTGATGCCGCCTCTCTTGGAGAATGGCCATGGTGATCATTCCTGTTATCCTTTGAAATCAAAACAGAGAACGTGGAGCACTTTTTTAAAAGCCTGAAGGGAATGTAGACATTCCGACACATGGTAAGGTGTCTCCCTAGTCTCTCCTCGGCTCTCCCCCGGGGGCGTCACCGCCCCCTGATGCCCCGCCCTCCCCACAACTCTAGTTCCTCCCAAGACTCAAGTTCCTCCCACTTAGCCCGGTGCTAGGGGCGCATTTCCCCGGCTTGCCTCGCCTTCTTTGCGCACGCCCGGTGGCAGGCGTGGGCAGGGCCGCGTTGCGTCATCAGGGCGCGCGCCGCAGAAAGCGCTGTGGTTGCCGGAAGTTGAGTGGCGGTAAGTGAGCCGCTGCGGGTGAGGGTGTAGTGGGGTCTTACTGGGTCGGTTTTGGAGGCCAGGAGTCAAGGGGCGAGCTCGCCAGGGAAGGCGAGGGTCACAGCAGGTCTCAGGATCCTCCTCTGCCCGCTTCTGGGCGGTCCTTCTTTCTCCAGGGACTCACTGATTCCGGCTGTCGCCCTTCCTCTGTAGCCGCGTCCCCTCAGACTGGTTCAGTCCGGGGTCTTCTGACTAGGAAGCTCCTGCTAATTTCCTATTAGCCCCTCCTGTCCTCTTGGTAGGAAATGCTCAGAATCTTCAATGTTGGAACACGGGAGATAGGACATTTGGATTCCCAACCTGGCTGTGTCTGGATTTCCCTGTCCCTGGCACGTTCCTTCCCGTTCTAAGTTGCTTTTCCTTCATCTGTAAAATGGGAATGATAATCTGTCATTTGTTACATGAGGAGATTAAATAAGTTTACTTTCTGAGAAAGTTCTCGATTCCATGATTACAAGGTTAGAAACTAATGCATAATAAGAATCAATCCGGTAAAGTAAATGTAGGTGTTAGAACATTTGTCAGAAATAGAGTCAAACTGTTAATTTTACCGGAATGAATTTTATAAGTACCGTACTAACGTACACGATGTTGGAGAAGTAAAAGCCAAACTGGGTGGGTGTGTGCACGTGAGAGCAGTTTCCTGATTTTTAAACACAGGCGACTGTTGCAATTTTTAAAAAAATTGGCAAGTAATTCTGTTTTTTAAAGACATTGGCAATTCAATTTTTACAAAACCTTGTTCAGCTGTAACCAGTCATATCTGTGGCTGTCAGTTTGGGACCTCTGGGTCCCAGACTCCCTTTTTCATTGACTACTTAAGATTTTTTTTTTTTCTCTGACACCTCTGCCCACTGGCCAGATTTCTTCCAGTGACAGAAAGCTTTTCTGGTTGCTCCTGTTTAGTCCTCTCCCAGTTTTGACTCTTAGGTTGAGCTGAAAGCAGCTACTCAGTAATCTCAGCTCACTGTTTCCCCTTCAGGCTCTTAGAATCACTCTTGCCCTACATCATTGAAAGCTGCTGGTTCGTCTTCCTCTTCCCACCTTTTTTTCTCTAGGCTAAGCATATTTAACGTATTTGCTCGTAGTAAACTTAACAGTGACAGCAAATTTTGTCATGTTTTGTTATATCCCCAGCATATAGAGCAATGCCTAGCATATATGCTCATTAAATATTTGTTGAATGAATGAATAAAACAAATATTTGCCCGTTGTGTGCCTGACATTATTGTGGGCACTGGTGATCTATCAGTAAAATAAGATGAAAAAGAACTCTGTTTTATGGCATCTTCTAATAATAGTGGTAATCGCGGTGGTGGTGGCATTGTCAATAAGGGTTGGTAGGTGTTTCAGATCCTGAAACGTACCACAGAAAGAAACAGGGTCATGGGATGGAGAGTAACTTGGGGGAAGCATAAAAGCTAGCTCATCAGGGATGGGTTCCCTGAGGAAATGACCTAACACTTGAATAAAAAGGCCAGTCTTGGAAAGGCTCATGTTGCTTAACTGCTCTCCCATCCCCCAGTGCTGCTCCAGTCTTGTTAAGCTGCTTGCACATGTGTCCCACGTCTAGCCCTTTGCTTCTATTGCTTCGAACATCTCTCCTCCCCCTTCCATTTATCTTGGCCAACTCCTTCCTGCCCTCATGTGACATGATTTTGAAATCCTTTAAGAGCTGAGTACTGGACTTTCCATTATTCAACCACAAGTGCCCTTTTCTGTTCCTAGCCAGCATCTCATTATGGAGAATAATGTGTATCTTACTCATTTCTGTATCCCCAGCTTGCAGTACAGTGCCAGACAAAGAGCTCAGCTAAAACTCTGTGTCTGGCACGCACTACAAGCTGGGGATACAAAAATGAGTAAGATACACATCTCTGTCCTCAAAGAGTGTACTTTTCTTTAAGTCAAGGAGATAGCAATGATGTGGCATGAAGCTATTGCAGAGATTTGGTAGAGGAGGACTTAGAGTGCTCATAAGTCAGGCTAACTCATCAGAGAAGGCTTCAGTGAGGAGGTGCTGCTTTAGCCAAGACCTAAAGGATGAACAGGATTTGATAGGTGAAGAGGGGTGCGAGGTGGGATGAGCAAAGGGCTAGACTAGAGGTGAGAATACATGGCCTGCTTGTGGTTCACCGGAGTGGCAGTGTGGAGGTGTAGGATGAGAGGTGACTGGAAAGGTAAGCAGTAGCCACATTGTGAAGAGCCTTGTGAACGATAACATGTTAAGAGCACATAGACTTTGGGATCCAAGATAGCTTCATACCGATATTTGCTTTGCCACTGAACTAGTTTTGTGACCCTGGGCAAGTCACTTCCTTTCTAAGCTTCAGTTTCCTCATCTGTAAGGAGAAATAAAAACTGAATGAGGTGATGTGTTACTCACTTGGCGCAGGTAGATGATAAACACTCAATAAACAGTAGTCATTAATATTACCAGGTCCAGAAGTTTGGACTCTAAAGTGTGGGGATGAGGGTGGAGAGCAGGACACCGAAGATTTGAAGATTTTTTTTTTTTTTTTTTTTTATCAAGTCTCACTCTGTTCCCTGGCTGGAGTGCAGTGGCGCCATCTCAGCTCACTGCAACCTCTGCCTCCTGAGTTCAAGCAATTCTCCTGCCTCAGCTTCCCGAGCACCTGGGACCAAAACAGGCGCACACCACCACGCCCAGCTAACTTTTATATCCCTAGTAGTGATGGTGTTTCACCATGTTGGCCAGGATGGTTTTGATCTCTTGACCTCGTGATCCACCTACTTCGGGCTCCCAAAGTGTTGGGATTGCAGGCATGAGCCACCATGCCTGGTCAGGACACTGAAGATTTTAAAACAGATGTGACATCCTTTCATCGTTTTAAATTACTCAGGCAGCAATGTGGTGATTACATTGGACCGAACAAGACAAGCAGGGCACCAGCTGGGGACAGTTGCAGTGATCCAGGTGACAGGATGATGTTCTGGATGAAGGCAGTGACAGTGGAGATGGAGAGGGTTGAAAGAAGTTGAGAGATTAAGGGGGTGGAATTTGCTGGACTTGGTAACTGATTGGATGAAACAGAGAGGAAGGGGACAAGAATCAGGATCCTGGTGGCAGGAAGGCAGAAATGAATTTGCTGTGTGGAGTTGAGCAGTAACAAAATTCTGTGACTAGTGTCTCTGATTGATTAGCCCTGACCTCCTCTTTGATTTTATTGGAAGTCAGTTTGCCCCCTGCGTCCATTTCTACCCATGGGATTGAAATTCACTAATGTCTTCCTCTCCTCTTTCTATCTCTTGATCTCCCCACCCTTCTCCAGTTTGATTAAGGCCTGATTGTATAATCAAGGGAGAATAAATACTGGAGGTGCTGCTCTGTTAATTGATAATCAATATGTATTTCCATAATCTTGGCAGACTGAGGAACAGCCTATTCACTCCACCTCAGACCAGCTTCAGAATAATCACTTTTGGGATTTCCTCACACCTTCATCCCAGTTACCATCCTTGAACTTGCTCCGGTTTGTCAGCCTCTCTAAGTGTGTGGTACTGAAAGGAAGTCCTCTTTTCTTGAGGACTCTAACCATGCAGGGCAAGACTGCACTTTTCTTTTGGTCACCTAAGGCCCTGCCAGCTCCATTGTAGACGCATTGTGCTTTTACTCTATTACACTAGTGTGCCAGCAGACAGGCCCTCAGCACGGCCCAGCCCTCCCCGTATCCTCAGACAGCTCTCTTGTCCATTTTCCTTTATGTCTTCCACATATTCATTCCTCTCCTCAACCTCGTACCTTGACTTTTGCTCCACTAAGTTGCAGCCATCAATTAAGGCTTCTCAACTTCCTCTTCTATTCTTTACAAACTGATCTTTAGCTGACCCTATCCTTTTGCCTTTTATTCTAATTCTGTGATAGAAATGGTGTTTAAGACTAAGTCCTCTATTTGTGCTTGAGATCCCATCTCCTCCTTTGCCTCAAGGACCGGGTTCCATCATTTGTTCATTTTCTTTACCGTTTCATGAGCCCTTCCCATTTAAGTATTCTCTGTTTACCCTCATTTTGGAAAAAACAAAAACCCTTCAATTAACCTGTGCTGCACCCTGTCACGTCTCTTTTATCCAGCCACCTTTCTTGGAAGAGTTATCTGGAGTTGCTACCTCTGCTTCCTTAAGTCATCACTGAAATCCTGCTCTCATCCCACCACTCCCCAAAGCCATCAGACCTCAACATTGCCAGATACCTGACCACTTTTCCTTCCTTATCTTTCTTGGCACATCTGACATTGCTGACCTTGCCCCTCACTTAGGAAAACCCAGTCCTACTTTGTATTATCTCTCAAACTCAAAGGAGTCTAAAACTAAGCTCCTCATCTTCCCTCTGAACCTGCCATTGTTTCTCCATTTTTGAATCTTGCCAATTCCCCTCCTTCCATTTAGTCATCCAGAACAGAGCCCTGAGAGTTGTCTCAGGCTATTTCTCTGGTACTACCCCTCCTTTCTGTCTTCCAAGCCCAGGCAGTCATCAGAGTTCTATAGATTAACTTCCTTGCTATCTCCTCCATTTCCTCCCTCGCTGCCTCAGTTCAGGCCCCCCTCCCTTCCTGCCTGTCTTTCTGCACAGCCTCCCAGCTGGTTGCCCTGCCTCAGCAGTCTGGTCCTCACTGCTGTGGATTGCCTTTACTAAAATAGAGATCTATGCTAAAATACAAATGCATAGTTTTTCACATAAGGCTCTTCATGATATGGCCTTTGCCTGTTTTTATGGCATGGTCCAGCTACTCTGCCCCATGTGCCTCTCCTTGCTGCCATACAGAACCCATTTGTGTTTCCTCAAAATACCGTCCTATTTCATTCATTCATTGTTTTAGTCATCAACAAGTACTTATTAGGCACCTATGAGGTGTTAAGACTGAGTCAGGTGCTAGAAAAACAATGATGAATGGGGGAAAATGAGAAGCTGACATGGTTCCTTTCTCATAGAATTTTTATTC